GGCGGTTTCCTCCTCTACCGCCAACCCCCTGATCGCCCTGGCTACAACCCCTTGAGGTCTGGCCCCTTTGTCCCTGACCTCTTCCCCCTCCTTGCGGCCTCCCTCCAACCGCGACAGCAGCGTAAGTCCTCCCTTGCCCTTGGCTACTGCCCTCATCCTCAAACCCCCATTCTATTTGTTCGTAGGGAACTTCTTCGACGCCACCTTCGTCTAAGGTAAGGATCAGACGATCCTTTGTCTTAACCTGACCAGAGATGGTGCGGCCCTTCCACTTTTTCCCCCTGTCTAGGTCCTTGTGCCAGAAAGTGGAGACTGACATGGACCGCGCTTCAAACGCCACCACTTCCCTGCTCAGGGCGTCGTAGGTCATGGTGGGTTGCTGGCTCTTCTCAAAGAAGTGCCCTCGCAGTGATTCGGGCATAGCCCGGTAGAAGAGGTTGACCAACTGGGTCTCGGTGACCCCGTGGTCAGGGATTGCAATCAACTCATCCATTACACCTTTGAGTGCCTTGGCACTCTTCCACTGACGCGAATGGATGGTTTGCAAACGATCGGAGGCTTTAACACTACACGCACGTCTGCGAACCGCTCACGTAATAATTTCAGAAAGTCACTAAGGGGAGTGAACGCAGAGTACACAACGACATCATTATTGCAGTTAGCCTTGCGTACCAAGGAGCGGGCAAAACTGGCGGCTTCCTCTTTCAGGGCATGGATGGCGATTAGAACGTGCTCATCTGGAAAAACTTTTTGTAGATGCACGTAGGTCATAACATTCGCTTCCCAGTTGTCAAAGTTATTTTCCTTCTTCCCACTGTAGGAATCAGGAAATTTGACCTTGACCGGCTCCCTACGGGGACGTACTTCCTCCCCTTTGGGGGCGGTTAGTCTGGCGCCCTCAATGGCGCCAGTGCAATAACGCTCTGTCCCTTCGAGGCGGGCCCTCACCTCGGTGCCCACCTGCGTAGCCAATTCACATGCAAAGTCCCTGAGCCCCAATCGTATAGAACGCACGACAATATCCTGGCTTCTACCAAACAGAAATTGCTCTTCCTGGACCTGTGCCAGGGGCTCTATATTCTTCGCCATAATTTTCATCTTCCCCAATAAATCTACCTGTACCGCCATCTGATCTCTCTGCTTCTTTATCTCCTCTAATTCTTTTGCCGCCTGGCTGGCGGCCTCCATCCTTCTTTTCCTTTCCCTGGTGAGGCGAAACTTYCACTCCATCCTTTTCTCATCCTCCAACACCTACCGCTTGAGTGGGTCTTCTTCAGCCTCCCATTCTCTTATGGCCGCCTCCTGCTCGTCCCTGAGCACATACATCAACGCCTCCTCGTCTTCTCCCAGGGTTAGTCCTGCAACCCATCTGTAATCCTCTTCTCTAATTGATCCTTTTTAACCCCACTGGATTCTCCTTTGTCTCCTGCCCTTCGCCTTTCCAGTGGTTGTTCTTCTTCTTCTTCTTCTTCCTCTTCCACCGCCTTCAACTTCTCTTCTTCCTCTTTCCTCAGCCTCTCCTTCTCTCTGGCCATCTCCTCCTCGATCTTTTTCAGCTTGGCCGCCTGCTCTTCTAACAAGGCCTTCTTCTTGGCCTCCTTCCTTTCTCTTCTCTCCTTCAGGGCGACGACGGCCTTGGCTTCCTGCTCGGGCGTATAGGGGGTGGTACTCGTGCCACTACGTGTGTCAACCATGGTAAAAGATGCACAACCCAACAACGGTCCCACTCCTCACCACTTAGACTCTCCCCCTAACCGACAAGACCTACTGACTCGATCTATGGACCACAAGATCCGTAGAGAACCCTGTCAACTATGGTCTCTAGCCTAGACCGTAATACTACAGCCGTCACAACAAAACTTGTTGCTGACCAGGAGGCATTTAAGGAGATCCCCCGTAACTCCTCAATAATTCTTTGACGTCGCAGACATGACGACGCAGTGAGCAGGTTCTCTCAATACTTAGACGGCCCGTTGTGCAGCCCACAGCTTCGATTTCGGGCCTACCGTGCCACACCGAGCAGCCCGCCGGTCAGTACCGGTCCTTGGGAGGGTTCGTGTCCTCCGGGACTGTCGAGTCGTCAGACACAGTCTTTAGCCCTACTCAGCCCGACAGGGGTTTGGTCAACGAGGCCCTATCCTTCATACACGGAGTCCTATCACCTTGACATAAGAGACTCAATGCAGAAAGAAGAGACAAATAGACTCAGACTCAGCAAGTACCACAGGGGTGTTATTTTCGATGAATTTTGCACCGAATTGCACTGAAACTATCATATTGTGCTGATTTTTTGCTTTTTTTCTTGTTTTTCTTTTTGAGTGATATATATGTGCTTTAGGGTACGTCATGTGTGCAGTTTTGACATGTTTGGATCAATAATGAAAAAGTTGGCATTTTGTTGAATTCGTTGGACGCTTCATTTTGACTCGGACAGTGTCTTTGTGTTAGGGTTTCATAGTGTTTTTTTGTTTTTTTTTTTCCGTTCTTTTTGACCTGTTCCCTTTTTTGATGTTTGCACTATGGTCTCATAACGTTTGTTTTTAAAATTTTTGATGAAATTCGCACCACAATTGCCAACGAAAACGGCGAATATTTGGGCCCCCGTTAACCGTCTCTCCCTCCTTTTTTTTTTTTTGTTCACCCCCGGCTATCTCTATCTTCCACTTCTTTATCTCTCCTTCCTCCTCAACTTCATCCTCGTCTCTCCTCCGTGTCCCGAGCTTCGCGGCTACGGCCGCTACTCTGTCTTGCACCGCACAACCAATCTTGGATCACTCAACTCTCTCTCTCCTCGATGCTGTCTTCAGTGCAGGTGCGTGATGAACCAATCTTGTATCGCTCAGTTCTCTCTCTCTCTCTCTCTCTCTCTCTCTCTCTCTCTCTCTCTCTCTCTCTCTCTCTCTCTCTCTCTCTCTCCTTCGTCGTTGTCTTCTATGCAGGCACGCGTCACTTCCTTCCGCAGCGCAGCTATGGCGGACTTCTTCTTCACGGTGGCGCACTCCAGCTATGGCGCCCTATGGCGCGCATCTCTCTCCTGCCACAACGGCGATGGCACGTGAGGTAGCGGGTACCAGCTCCGATACCAGTGCAATCAGACTCGCATCCATTCACACTTCACACGTATGCAAGCAGGTTGCGCAGCAAACTGGCGCCAGGCGCCCACTCAGAACTCAAAGATATAGTACCAAAAACACACTCAGATACAAGTTCACTTCACATGGCTATGGCGGCACAGCGCCTGAACAACTCTCTGTTCGTCACTCACTTGACACTGCTGTTCGCATACCGGATCAACCTGGATACCCCACACACCACACACTCTGAACACTCACATACACACACTGCACTTCACTACCAGCTATGGCGGCTATGGCCGCTTCTACTCTATCGCTATGGCTACCCTACTCTCCTTCAGCCCACTTCCACTTCGGGCGCCTCTGCACACCACCTCACACAAGTCACTATGACAGTGCTTCCGCATGGCTTCCGCAGGAATGAATGAATGGCTGGGCGCTGCCCTCTGATTTATACTTTTGTAGCTCGCTGGTCTGGCCCTTTTCCATCGGCCCATGGTGCACACAGTCCCGTATGGTACTCGTTGGACGGGACTGGGACTGACTGGACCGTACCGCTGACTGCATGGGGTTGGACCGCAACCTTACTGCAGTCGCACTGCCAACACACTGAAGTTGGCTCCACCACTTGCCCACTTGCCTCTGTCTAACGTGAGCCTACTCCGAAAGGCCACTTCCGGAAGTCTGTAGACTTGGCCTTTCGGTACTGTAGCAGCTACGACCTTGACCTTTTAGGATTGTAGCAGCTACGACCTTGACCCTTTGGACAGGCTACAGCTACGACTTCTAGAACTCACTAGAACTCCTATCCGACAGGTCTACAGATCGAACCCCTACCCTTACACTGACCTACGACGGACAACAACAACTGTCAAAACACAGGTCACGGGTTCAAACACTCGGGGTCAACACACATACTGTACACAGGTAAGGTGAGAACTAGGGATCGAGCCCTGGGATCTGCACTCGCTACTGCCGACAGGTGAAAACTGTTTCAAAAGTAGCATTTCGTTTCTCTGATATTGGCATCCGAAATTTCTGATATTCGCATACATAGCCGAAAATTTCTGATGTTAGCATTTCGTTTTCTAGGCATATTAGGATAACGCTAGAGGTGGTCATATTCTCGGAAACCGGATTTATTCTTTTCTGAAAATCAAATCTCCATTCTATCTCGCAATTTTTTTTTGAAAACCGAAATATTGCGAAGCCTATCAGCATTTCCCTTTTAGGCATATTAGGAGGTGTTCATATTCTCAGAAACTGGATTTAGTTCTTTTCTGAAAATCGCATATGTACTCTATTTCGCACAATTTTTTTTTTTTTCA